TTTTTTTTTTTTTTTTTTTGTTTACCTTTTGACTTCTCAGTTGCTACCCTGCAACAGACCCTTTGATATAATTCCATGAAATCCATAGATAAAAAATTCATCGGGTCTTGGGAGCTCCCACTGGATGGCTGCTGCTTAATTATCCTCTAAGATCTGTGGCTTCTTTGGATCAGATGTGCTCCAGAACATATTGCACTTCTCAGGCCGGGAAGAAGACTCCAAGCATATACCATCTGAAGAAGCTCTCAGATCTGCTGAGACACCTTGATGGACTGTTAAGGTATTGTCACAGCTAGATGGGGACTGAGAGAGAAGGAAAATGAAGTTGCTGGAAAGAAGGTTGCTKACTGTGTGCATTGCTCGCAGTAAATTTTTCAGCCCTCACTGAGGGGGAAAAAGGTTTTTATTCACCAAAGGTCCATTAAGTTTAATTCACAGAACACTGGCAGACAGGTWTTTTAGTGCTGCACCCCTGTAGTTGTAACTGACTCCTGTTGTCTCACAAAACCTTGGATAAAGGATGGTGGAAACTCAAGGCCCAAAGGGTCCAGTAGCCAWAAAGGGGTGTTAAATAAACCCTTTCCTTGGAATATTATCCTGCCCCACAGTCTAGTGTGGTTGTGGGGATTTCTTTGCTGTTTCAGAATAGTACAAGTGCCTTGTTCCCTGTCCAGTTCACAGCTGCACACACAGGTGAATTACTCCATTTTCTTTGTACTGGTTCTTCTCTTTCACTRCAAAAAGAAGCACAGAGGCAGCATCTCAAAAGTCTCTTAATCTGTGATTTAATGGGCAAAAAAGGAGTTAGGASGCAGCCTGTGAGTTTGCTTGCCTGGCTTGTCAGTTGTGACAAACTGGCTCATCACAGTGCAGTGGGGTTCCTGTAGAGATACAAACACTGACTGCTGAACAAGTTATTAGTTCTTTCCAGGATCATTTTGGGGTTTCTTTCTTGAGCTCGAGACTGTGTGAACTCCTGGTGAATGTTAGCAGCTACTGCTAATTCAATCTTCATCATAAAGTTTAGTTCATTGAATGAAGTACATTATATGGGGTTTTTGTCATGTGGAAAGAAAGATGTATATTTGTATTTAAAAGTAACATAGTAAGGAAAAGGGGGCGTTTCTTGATTTAGTCTGTGCCAGTCAGACCTAGTACTCAAGCTCTCTTCAACATAAATGTTCTTGTACAGTATCATCAGCCATCCACACTGACTTCTGGGCTTTGATTGGTTTCTGTAGGACCAGCACATTTCTCCTTGCAGGATATGGACCTGTGGTTCACTGAATATCCACTATTTTATAGGAGTGTTTGTGCTTTAACAGTTCAGYGTTAGCCTTGTTGAGCTTCTTTCACTGTGAGTTACCACCTGTCTACAAGACAGATCAAGCAGGTTTGACAAATTTTTAGTGTAACTTCAGAGGAAGGTATGCTGAGTAAGTTCTTCAGATATTTTAGCTCCCTTTCTAATTCCAACGTTAAAGAAAAAATAAACAGTCCTCAAAGTTGTTTTCAATGTCAACTCTCTGAGTGTGATTGCTGTAACAGAGGGTRTGTTTATGTAATGGGATTCCCAGAAATACTTCCTGACATGAGTGCCTCCTGTGATGCAAAATGTGGTTGATGATGACTCTGTTCAAAATGCCTATGAGTAAGCTGAGAGTTCTGGGGGATGATGACATTGAACAGGTTTGTCCTTGCCAGGAATTTATTTCATAATCTATTTTTCTTTGACTGCTTTTCTAATGTTACCTTTTGAGAACTGTAAAGTTGAACAGGTCTGTCTTTGAGCTGATACAAGAAATCTCCTCAAAAGGTACCAAGACACTACATCTTGTAGAAAAAGTGTACTCTTCTTTTAATGACCTCTTGTGAAATGGTTTTGTAAGATTTACGTACTTGTGCTTAATACACCATACAAAATGTATTAATCTGTGTGCTCGTTCTGACATGACATTTGTGCATGAATAAAAACTGATTCAGTTGCATTGCCTGCTCACAACTATCATATATCATCCTTTCATTTATGACATATGCTTCTTAAAATCATTTCATGAAAAGTTTTACTTTAATTTTTACCGAACAAAAGGAATATTGCATGAGATACAGATGCATATGTTCCTTTCTTTATTTTTTCTTTTCCTTTTTTTTTTTATATTGACTTAGAAAAGCTCTTGCTCTTATTGGCTTTGTGAGTGTGAAGCATATCCGAATTGTGCATGGAAGATATAGATTTGAATTTATTCCAGTTGCTTCACAGTTTGCACATCAATTGCCTGTCACTTAAAGGAATTTTGGTTTCTGCATGAAATAGTTCTGAAGCGGTTTAAAAAAAAGATTTTAGCTACATAATGTCATTTTACGCAAGTTTATATTTTTGTATAGGTTCAAATCTGAACAGAACAACAATAGAAATTATTAAAAGGATAATTGTAATAGATGCACGAAGCAGAGACATACCTAAACAGGCAAAATAAAGCTGATATGAATATTTCACAAGTAGCACATCAGAAAGTCAATAGGAAGTAAGAGAAGAAATTTTGATGTGGCTTTATTTTTACCTTATGGATTCCTTTTGTGTGTTTTCTGTTCTCCATTGTTTGCAGATTCGGTTGCTATGTGCTTCCTGTCTTTCATTTCATGTTGCCTTTTGGTTTGGACCAGTTATCAGTATATGGCTCGTTCCTAATTTTTTTCTTTCCTTTTTAAAATCTTCTTTTGCCTCCTTCATCCCAACTCATGCAAACAATTGTACTTGCTTTTTGTAATATTACAACGTTTACTGACCAATTTTCTTCTCTGGTCTCTCTGTTTTTCAACCATTTTTGTTGATTTTTATGTTTGATTTTAATTTAACAATTTAAGAAACAGTTGAACGGAGTGCAGGAGCAACAAGATCCCTACCTGCTACTTACTCATACAAGCCATTCTTTTCAACACGGCCATATCAGTCATGGACAACAGCTCCAATTACAGTGCCTGGGCAAACCAAATCAGGCTTCACTTCCTTATCAAGCTCTTCCTCTAACACTCCTACAGCTTCCCCATTAAAATCAATATGGTCTGTTTCTTCTACTTCTCCGATCAAATCCACGTTAGGAGCTTCTACCACATCTTCAGTTAAATCTGTTAGTGATGTAGCATCTCCGATTAGATCGTTTCGGACAATTTCTTCGCCAATAAAAACTGTGGTCTCTCAGCCTCCCTACAACATGCAGGTCACTTCGGGCTCTTTTGTCAGAGCTCCCCCAGTCACAGAAGCTGCCGGCCTCAAAGGGCTGGCCTCCACTACCACATTCCCCTCTCGGACATCTCCAGTGACTACAGCAGGATCTCTCTTGGAGAGATCGTCCATAACCATGACGCCTCCAGCATCCCCCAAATCCAACATTAACATGTACTCTTCGAGTTTGCCGCTTAAATCGGTCATCACATCAGCATCTTCACTTTTATCGTCCCCTCTAAAGTCAGTGGTGTCACCTGCTAAGTCAGCAGTTGATGCTGTTTCATCCACTAAAGTCATGATGGCCTCAACTCTCTCGTCGCCAGCAAAACATGTAGCTGGGCACACAGACGTGCCATTGCTTAATGGCTCTGTGTCACCTCTGAAATACCCATCTTCTGCCACCTTAATAAACGGATCCAAAGCTGCAGCTGTTTTCCAAGACAAGATGGCTGCAGCTGCGCATTCTGCAGCGTGCGCTGCTAACGCAGTTGCTGACACGGCTGAGAGAGTGTTTTCAACAGCTACAACAATGCCATTTTCTCCACTCAGGTCATACGTGTCTTCAGCACCATCAGCTTTCCAGGCAATGAGAACTCCTCCTGCAGGTGCTTTGTACACAGCCCTTGGGTCAATATCYGCAACTACCTCATCAGTAACTTCATCTACAATAACGGTGCCGGTGTATTCTGTAGTCAATGTTTTGTCTGAACCAGCATTAAAGAAGCTCCCAGAGTCGTCCTCGCTGACCAAATCAGCCGCTGCGTTGCTCTCACCTATTAAAACATTGACTACAGAGGCGCGCACGCAGCCTACCTTTACTCGAACTTCATCTCCAATAAAATCATCCTTGTTTTTAGCACCCTCTGCTCTCAAATTGTCCACGCCATCTTCCTTATCCTCCAGTCAGGAGATACTGAAAGATGTTGCTGAAATGAAAGAGGATCTGATGAGAATGACTGCAATCTTGCAGACAGATGTCGCAGAGGACAAACCRTACCAACCTGACATACCAAAAGAGGGTAGAATTGATGATGAAGAGCCCTTTAAAATTGTTGAGAAAGTAAAAGAGGACTTAGTAAAAGTTAGTGAGATTCTGAAAAAGGATGTGTGTTTAGAAAGTAAAGGGTCGGCTAAAGTATCCAAAAGTGATCAAGGACACCTGTCTGAGGATGACTGGGTAGAGTTCAGTACAGAGGAGATTGATGAAGCGAGACAGCAAGCTTTGACAAGCCCTCCTATATCTGTTCCAGAGAAAGTCCAAATTAAAACTAAAACCATGTCGGAAAAGGATTATAGCTTGTCAAAAGTTATTGATTACTTAGCAAATGATATCAGTAGCAGTTCATTAACAAACATAAAGTACAAGTTTGAAGAGGGGAAAAAAGAAGGTGAAGAGAGACAAAAGCGCATTTTAAAACCGGCCATCGCTTTGCAGGAACACAAACTTAAAATGCCTCCAGCCTCCATGAGGCCTTCAACATCGGAAAAGGAATTGTGTAAAATTGCAGACTCCTTTTTTGGAACAGATACTATTCTGGAGTCTCCAGATGACTTTTCACAACACGATCAAGATAAAAGTCCCTTGTCTGACAGTGGCTTTGAAACCAGGAGTGAAAAGACACCTTCTGCCCCACAAAGTGCTGAAAGCACGGGGCCCAAACCGCTTTTCCATGATGTGCCCATCCCCCCCGTCATCACAGAAACGAGAACTGAGGTAGTTCATGTCATCCGCAGCTACGAGCCATCTTCGGATGATATTCCAGAGCAGAAGGCTGAGGAGCTGCCGGCCTCCAAACCTATGGAGCTGGAGCAAAAACCTTCCGTGTCTATTAAAGAGAAGGTTAAAGCTTTTCAAATGAAAGCCAGCGGCAGCGAAGAAGACGACCATAAGTGCGTCCTTAGTAAAGGTGTCCGAGTGAAAGAAGAGACTCATATCACTACGACGACCAGGATGGTTTATCACAAACCTCCTACATGCACGGAAAGTGCCACTGAAAGAATCGAGGAAACAATGTCTGTTCATGACATAATGAAAGCCTTCCAGTCTGGACGTGACCCTTCCAAAGAACTGGCAGGTCTGTTTGAACATAAATCGTCAGTAACGACCGATGTTAGCAAGTCTGCTGAGACTTCACCACAACATGCAGAGAAGGACAGCAAAATGAAACCCAAACTGGAGCGAATAATAGAGGTCCATATTGAACAAGGTAATCAGGCTGAACCTACTGAAGTCATTATTAGAGAAACAAAAAAGCATCCAGAAAAAGAAATGTATGTATATCAGAAAGACTTACCTCGGGGAGATATTAACTTAAAAGAGTTGGAAAAACATGATGCTTTTCCTTGTTCAGACGAACAAGGTCAGCAAGAAGAAGAGGAGCTCACGGCCGAAGAGTCACTTCCTTCTTATCTGGAATCCTCTAGAGTTAACACTCCCGTGTCCCAGGAAGAAGACAGTCGCCCTAGTTCTGCTCAACTCATGTCTGATGACTCTTACAAAACACTGAAGCTTTTGAGTCAGCACTCAATAGAATACCATGATGATGAGTTGTCAGAACTAAGAGGGGAGTCTTACAGGTTTGCTGAGAAAATGCTTCTTTCAGAAAAGCTAGATGTGTCTCATTCTGATACTGAGGAGTCAGTTACTGACCATGCTCTACCCCTTAGTGCAGAGTTACAGGGGACTGATAAACGATGCAGAGAAAAAGTAGCTACTGCCCCCAAAAAAGAGATTCTCTCCAAAATCTATAAAGATGTGTCTGAAAATGGTGTAGGTAAAATGTCTAAGGATGATCATTATGATAAAGTGACAGTGTTACACTACACTGGAGATGTTAGTAGTCCAAAACATGCGATGTGGATGCGCTTTACTGAGGACAGATTAGACAGAGGTAGAGAAAAGTTGATGTATGAAGACAGGGTGGACAGGACTGTTAAAGAGGCAGAAGAAAAACTGACTGAAGTATCCCAGTTTTTTCGGGATAAAACAGAGAAGTTGAATGATGAGCTACAGTCTCCAGAGAAAAAGCAGCATAAAAAAAGTGGCAAGGAAATACATTCTAGCCAGAGCTCTGCCAGCAGCAGCCCTGAGAAAGTTCTGCTCTCTGAATTGCCATCGTCTGGGGATGATTGGAGTAAGGTGAAGCAGTATGCACACGATGGGAAGAGCTTTCCCAAGGTGGATGAAAGAAAAGCGTCCAGTTTGCCCAGCAGTCCTGAAAAAAGGATCTACGTGCAGCACGCAGAGGACTCTAAACGAACTATGGAACACAAAGGAAGTGCTCAGCAGACTGGAGCACCCGAGACTGGATTTCAGCTGAAGCAATCAAAGCTCAGTTCCATTAGGCTTAAATTTGAACAAGGTATAAGTCCCAGGAGTAAGGACGTAACTCAAGAAGAAAAAAAGCTGGATGGCCAGTCCAAAATTCCGGTAAAAAAATTGCAAGAAAGTAAGTTACCGGTGTATCAGTCCTATTCGAGAGAGAAACACGCAAAGCAAGTAGAGGTTGTTGATGGGAGCACAGCTTTACAGAAAGAGGTGAAAGTACAGGAAGACCTCGGTCCAGGTAAAGGGAAAGCTGTCGAAGACTTTCGTGCCTCAGACACCCCAAAACAAAGAGCTGAGATGAGGAAAGGCGTGCCGGAATGCGTTTCAGAACCACGGGCCAAAGACCTGGCGTACGGCTCAGACTCAACAGTGAAGGGACACTGGGACAAAAAAATCTATAGGACGTGGGAAAGTCCTGGAACTTCCAACCATAAAGCACAGAAGGAAAAGCTTTCACACGTGCTGGTTCCAGATACAGTAAAAGAAAACCAYGTGGATCATGCTGAATCTAAAACTGACAAAAAAAGTGAATTTATCACTGTGACAGAGCACAAAGTGGCCGCAAATGGAATCCATTCAGAAGAAGTGAAGGAACTGACTGTAAAATCTCCCTCAAAAAGGGTTTTATACAGAGAATTTGTTGTCAGGGAGGGGGAACGTAATGGTGAAGTGGCCGATAAAATATGCAGAAGGAAAGAAGAAATTGCTGTGTCCCATATTCCAGTCAGAATTGTTGAGGAGAAGAGAGCCATGCTTGATGGTGTCTATGAACTTTCAGCTAAAGTATCCCAATCAGCTGTGATTCAGGAGAAAGTTGAAAGACAGGTTGATTATGTGGAAGATGAAAAAATAAAGCATTCAGAAATCAGAAAAGTTACCAAGCAGCAGAGCTCAGTAGGTCTAAGTCCTCCTGCTGAGGAGACAGAGCTATCCCCTAGCAAATCACCAGATTCTTTAGAATGTAGCCCAGGAAAGGAATTTCCTTCCAGTGACATAGCTGCCCCTGGTGCAAGTGATTACTTGGATAAAGCTGCACCGCTAGCGAGCACTGAGGGAGTAAAAGAAATTAAGACCTTACCTGTTTATGTCAGTTTTGTTCAAGTAGGAAAGCAGTACGAGAAAGAGGTGCAACAAGGAAGTATTAAAAAAATTGTCAGCCAGGAGAGTAAGACGGTACAAGAGACGAGGGGGACATTTTACACAGCTAGACAGCAGAAACAACCTCCTTCCCCACAAGGTAGTCCAGAAGATGACACGCTAGAACAAGTGTCCTTTATAGACAGCTCTGGTAAAAGCCCTTTGACACCAGAAACACCGAGCTCAGAGGAAGTGAGTTACGAGTTTACATCTAAAACACCCGACTCACTCATAGCTTTTATCCCAGGCAAGCCCAGCCCTATACCTGAGGTGTCTGAGGAGTCAGAGGAGGAAGCAGAGGCTAAGTCCACATCTGTGAAACAGGAAGAGGTTGAAGAGCCGCAGGTTGACAAGGCGTTACCTAATCTTATGAACAAGGACTCTAACAAAAGACCCAAAGGTAACAGAGTTGCCTATATTGAATTCCCTCCTCCTCCGCCACTGGACGCAGATCAAGGCGAGTCGGAGAAGAAGCCTCATTATTCCACTGAGARCGAAATGGAGATGACTGAAGTGAACTTGCAGGATGAACACGACAAGTGCCAGCTGGCTGAACCTGTCATAAGAGTACAGCCGCCGTCTCCTGTGCCTCCGGGAGCAGATGTCAGTGACTCCAGTGACGATGAATCCCTCTAYCAACCCGTTCCGCTTAAAAAGTACACGTTCAAATTGAAAGAGCTGGAAGATGACCAGAAAGAAACCTCAAAACCCAGAGCCCCCGAAAAGATTGAGAAACAGAAAGAGTTAGGACATCCCACTTCTGGGAAATCCAATGAGCTTGACACTGGGCTTGATTCACCCCAGAATGATGTAGTGCAAAATGGGAGTAACAATGACCAGTCTGTCACAGAGTGTTCCATAGCAACCACTGCAGAATTCTCCCATGATACCGATGCGACAGAGATTGACTCTCTTGACGGTTATGATTTGCAAGATGAAGATGATGGTTTAACTGAGAGTGATTCTAAACTTGCAGGTCCGGCAGTTGAGACCAAAAAGGACGTATGGACTACAGAAGGCATTCTAAAGCAGACTGATCGCTGCTTTAGCCAGAGTAAGCTTGAAGTCATTGAGGAGGAAGGAAAGGTAGGCCCTGAAGAAGACAAGACGCCTTCAAAAGGTCCATCTTCTGACAAAGCTGGAGATAAGAGCGATAAGAAGTCAGGGGCGCAGTTTTTCTCTCTGGAAGGCAGACACCCTGACAGGACTGTATTTCCTGACTCCTATTTCAGTTACAAAGTAGACGAAGAATTCGCAACACCTTTCAAAACTGTGGCCACCAAGAGTCTAGATTTTGACCCGTGGTCCAATAACCGAGGTGACGATGAAGTGTTTGAGACTAAATCGAGGGAGGATGAGGCTAAGCCTTTTGGTCTGGCAGTGGAAGACAGATCCCAAGCGACAACACCTGACACAACTCCAGCCAGAACTCCAACAGATGAGAGTACGCCAACTAGCGAGCCCAACCCCTTCCCATTTCATGAGGGGAAGATGTTTGAGATGACTCGCAGTGGTGCAATTGACATGAGCAAGAGGGATTTTGTTGAAGAAAGACTCCAATTTTTTCAGATTGGTGAGCATACTTCTGAAGGGAAGTCAGGGGACAAGGGGGAAGGGGATAACAGTACAGTCACTGCCATCACACAGCCACAGGCAGGGGACAGCACTGTAGAGACAAACCTAGAGAGACCGGTAGAGACAACAGCAGTTGAAAATATGCCCGGCACCCAGGCCAGTGGAGATTGCACGGAGCAAACACTTGGTAGTAACTCCCCGGAGAAATCATCGGCAGCAGTAAACGCTTCCAAAGTTGATCCCAAATTGCGCACACCAATTAAAATGGGAATTTCTGCTTCCACCATGACTCTGAAGAAAGATGGCCCTGGCGAAGTGACAGATAAGATAGAAGCTGTGATGCCAAGTGGTCAGGGATTAGAAAATGAAACTGTAGCAGTGATTGCGAGTTCAGCTGCTAGCCAGACGAGCTGTAGGCAAACAGAAAACATTGATTTTCCAAAAGATAATTTTAATAACAACAACAATTTGGATTCATCTGCTGTCCCTTCAGATGATATTACCTGTAATGTAGTGCTAAAAGAACATTTGGAACCGAAATGTTCCCTCCAGAAAGCTAATCAAGCGAAAAGCACTTCAGGAAAAGGTACAGGGACAACACAAGGACACAGAGTAAGAGATAAGCAAAAACCACACGGAGAGCAGCAGAAGTCAACAGAGTCGGTAGGGGCTAGAGGAAAATCAAAGCTTCCYGTAAAGGCCAGCTCAGTAAAACAAGTCTTTTCACAAAATAATCTCCAAAGCAATACAGGGAGTAAAGTGAGAGAGGCTAGTAAGCCTGACAAAGCAAAACAAAATAACTCTTCTCCCTGTTTAGAAGCAAGGTCTAGGATTCCTGTAAAAAATACACATAGGAGTAATCTGTCTAGACGAACTCCAGCCCTGCCAAAACAAGAGCAGGTAGAGAAAGAAAAACCAAAACAACTTCCTTCTAAATTACCAGTAAAGGTAAGATCTACCTCCGTCACCATGACAACAGTTAAAGTAAAGAAAAATCAGCTTAGGGAGGTATGTAAACATTCTATTGAATATTTTAAGGGAATTAGTGGTGAGACATTAAAGCTTGTGGATCGTCTTTCTGATGAAGAGAAAAAGATGCAGTCAGAGGTCTCTGACGATGAAGAAGACAGTACATCAAGGAACACATCCTTATCAGAAGCCACTCAAGTTTACCAGCCTTCCATTACACCGAAGTCTGCTAGAGACATGAGAACAGAGGCAGCATCTATAAAATCAAAGATTGAAAAGGCCGACAGTGAGAGGAGGAGGAGTAAGAGGACTGGTGAGAATGAAGGCAGTCAGGTTTCTGGAGCTCTCATGGCTCACCTCGTGGAGATCAAGCCTAGTTTGTAAAACTTTCAACTTGTTGATCCTAGTGCATGAACTGTTGTGATTGCCTGTGGAGTGACTTAACTGTAGTTTTCATTCTGTCATTGTCATCTGTATGTGCTGTCTTATTCTCTTTTTTCTTCCTTCGAACAAATTCTGTACTGTAGAAAGCTAGTGAAGCATGCCAAAGACGTTCGTGTAACTCAGAAATTGATGTAACTCAGAAATTGAAAGATGTCTTTTTTGTGACAGCAAATTTGTTCTGTCAAAGTAGAGAAAATAGACAATAATCTGGCCTTGGTGGTTTTCACCAGTAATTGAATAACTTGTCTACAGTCAACAGCTAGATTGTCAGCATGTTTGGTTTCATTACACAACATCATGTAGTTTTACATTCGGCTTTACACAGGTGAAAATCTGAAAGCTGTGAAAAAATTTTGTCTTGTAGGTTGTTAGGTCACACAACCATTCTAGTAAACGATATAAGCACTGTCAACTTAGTCGATTAAAGCTATTATTTATAATAAACTATTATCCGGTATTGTGGTTTTCTGTGCAMAACCTTTTTAATTGAGAAATTGTAAATCACAGGTCCACAGAGTCCATGTGAACGGACAGATATAAGGATGGCAATTGTAGCTGATCACCTAGGACTTAGCTGGACAGGTAAGCTTTTCTGCTTTAATATTGAAATCAGTCTTTGCCGTTGCTTTTTTAGGTATTCTTTTACAAAAAGATGCAGCAGGACTGGCTCTCCCAAACTCACAGCCAGACCACAATCAGTGGAAATTAACAGTTTGTAAATTAGCCGTGAGGAGGCAGTCTCCAGGGAGGGCTTTTGCATCATGTTTGAGTGGCTTACTGAGTATAAGTACGATAATCGCTTATCCCACACATGATTGAAATACAAAATGATGTTTTAGGAAATGAAAGTATGGAGACAGAATGCTRTGGTCATTGTTATCTGTAAAGTTTGTGTCAGGCACTTTCATTGGTGTCTCCGTGACCTACGAAAGATGATATTTTCAAACTTGACGGTTTGTGCTTTTTTTGTGTGTTTTTGGGTTTGTTTTTTCTTTTCTCGCTTGCTTCTTTTGTCTTTATAGAACTGGCAAGAGAACTGAATTTTTCTGTGGATGAAATAAACCAAATCCGAGTAGAAAATCCAAATTCTCTTATTGCTCAAAGCTTCATGTTATTAAAAAARTGGGTTACCAGAGATGGGAAAAATGCTACAAGTAAGTCCAAGTAGTTACTTTTGTTGTTTATAAGCTATAGTCCATTTCATCTGTTGCCAAGTTGAAGAAAACATTATGAATATCCTTCCCAAACCATCAATGAGAAAAGAAATTTCAGTTACATTTTTACCAGGAGTCAGAAATATGTCATATTTATTCACTATRTATGTGCAGAAGGAAATGATCTGTTCTCCACATCCATAATTGATGGGACAAGTAATGAATTTAAACTCCACTAAAGAAACTAATGGGGAAAACTTTCCAATAGCAAGGGATGTGAAACATGGAAAGCAACTGCCTGGAAAATTTAGATGGTCTCACGGTATTGCAGTTCATAGAAAAAGACTGAACTTCTTCCTGTAAGGGGTGATGGAGACACTGATCCTGGACTGAAACTTCTGGGTTTATCCATGCATTAATATTGAATTGCTCAAACCGAGAAAGAAGGGTTGATTTTTGTGTGGGGTCAGAGACGTTCATTACCCTTCTCTGCTCCACAAACTCCTACACACCATGTGGGTCTMCTTTGATCTCTGTCACTGTAATTTCCAGTATTAGTGTGTTCCCACAACAGGATTATTRTAAATGAGATTTAATGATGTCCTGYATGARTAGCCTCATAGGCATTATTACCKACATGASTGCCTATTCTGTTGTTCCCCAAAACAGAATGGTAGATTTTTGCACTCCCTTTATGCTCCAGTAAAAGGATATTTTGTATCAGCAGTAAGTAAATACGTTCCTCAAGAACTCTCTGACCTTATTCTTTGTRCCTTTTGTCTTGTGCTAGAGTTATACTTGGAGAGAGGGTAGCCTCTTAATAGATGTATATCTTGAGTAAGTAGGCAGCTGAATGACTGCTCAGACAAATGCTGGGGTTTGCTAGAACCAAAGGCATTGGGACATGCCAGCAGTTTGTAAGTAATGCAATGTGAATGGAACTGAGAAAAATGATCACACCATTCTGCAATGTTTAACTTTTTTCTGATGTGTTTTATTTTTTTTTTTTTTTCAGCTGATGCCTTAACTTCTGTATTGACAAAAATTAATCGAATAGATATTGTGACCCTGTTGGAAGGACCAATATTTGATTATGGAAATATTTCAGGCACCAGAAGTTTTGCAGATGAAAATAACGTTTTTCATGATCCCATTGATGGTAATTGAATTCTGTATTGGTATTTAATTCAGTGACATGTCTAATAATACAATAATGTTGCATAAACTAGACTTTAAAGAAAATTTGTAAGTTCTACTGAAACGATAATTTTAAATGTGTGGAGGGTTTTTTTCTCCTAAAGCTATCATAGAATAGCTATACAGTAGCTAAAGCTATACAGTAGAATCACAGAATATCCTCARATGGAAGGGACCCACGAAGATCTTCGAGTCCAGCTGCTGGCCCTGCACAGGACAGCCCCAAGAATCAYACCATATGCCTGAGAGCATTGTCCAAACACTTCCTGAACTCTGGCAGGCTGGTGCTGTGACCACTTCTCTGTCCAATGTCTGACCACTGTCTGGGTGAAAACCTCWTCCTAATACCCAGCCTAAATAAACCTGCCCTGCCACAGCTTCTCTCTGACTCATATCCAGCTTCCCACTGACCAGACCCTTCCCACAGGGCTGCTCTCCATCCTCTCATCCCCCACACAGCCAGGGTTGCCCCATTCCAGGGGCAGATCCCAGCACMTGTCTTTGTTGAACTTCCTGTGGTTGGTGATTGCCCAGCCCTCCCTGCTTTAGAGGGTGTCCACAGCTGCTCCAAATTTAGAATCTTCCACAAACTTCCTTAGGACACCTTCAAGTGCTACATTAAACTTTTCTATGGGGATGTTTAGGTTGCACATTAATATCTCAAAAAATAATCCCAGAGTCCCACAAAAGTGTGCCTGAGTGAACTTGTTCCCACCAGCCTCTGTGTCAGTTGACAAGACCAAGTTTTTCTCCTGCAGCAGCTGTCCTTTGAGGCTTGCCCACCTCTGATTTTTATGTACTCAGTATTGCATGCTCGACAAGTTACCTGGAAATATGTGTGTTCTTTGGCTTCCTGTCTAGATATGTAGCAGTAAAAATTCTTCAAGGAAAAAAAAAAAGAAGGAAGAACAAGGGTGAAAAAGTGCATATTCTTTGCATGGAATAAATTAATGTGCAATTTACTACCAAGCCTCTTTGAGACATGTGGACATCGATTGCTTCATGATTTTTCACTTGGACCATTTCTACAATGGCAGTAGAAAAATAAGAAAATGTTTTATTAGTGCATGAGTGAATATGTTTTCCAGTCTGCTAATGGGTAAAATTGTATAATAATTTTCATGTGGAAGCTGGATCACGGAAAACAGGACTGTGCAGCTTAAATTTGAGTCATATTAAAAAGGATAAATGAAATTCTCCTTGTAAAACAAAATTTCCGTAGGAATGCTTATTATTTATCAGTATATTGAAGATGCTAAATGTTGTTTCTTTCTTGTTTTAAATGTTAGATAACAGGCACTGGATTATTACTTTGCTTTTACTCACTTGTACTATAAATAGCCCCTTAAATATGATTTTTTTTTTTGTAAGTAACACTTCTGTTGTTTTTTTGTAATTTGTTCAATTATGTTCTGGCTTTTTGTATGTTTTAGCAAGATTTTTTTTTCTTCAGAGCATATGAGCTCAGTGTACCTCCATTATTGAGCAGCATTGCTGGTCATTGAATCATTGCACTACAGAACTAGTTTTCTGTTGACATTTTAAGAAAGTTGCTCTTGAAATGTTGCTTGCGCCTTTTAATAGTAACATCAATGTTTTTATATAAAAAAAAAGTGCTTCTCTGCAGTTGCTTTGTGTCTCTCCTCTTCTCTGAACCTTCCTCAAGCTTCCTTTCCTCACCAAGACCAGACCGCCTTTGCCTTTCTCTCAGCTGGGTCAGGAATCAGCCCCAAGCCCTGTTACTGCCCCTCCCTTTGCAGGCAGCACAAGATCCAGTTAACCCCACAGCATGTGTTTTTTCCTTTCCTAGGTTGCCCAAGCTCATTTGCCAGAATGCGAACTTAAGGTTTTGTTGTCATTTTTTTGGTTTTTTAATGTGTATAATCAGTTTAATCCTTTTGTATGGTTTGGTTTTGTTTTTTTCATGTTTTCATCAATTTTTCTTTTCTCTTTATTTGATCAGTGTATCTGATTGTACCAATGTCACCAAGATCACCTCAATCTTCAAGATCACCAAGATCTCCTTACTCACCACAGTCCTCTCACCCCTATAACTTCACTGTACCTGAAATATTCATATAGCCCTCCCTTGTTGTCTTTTTGTTCTCTTATCCCTTCTCTAACGTCCTTACTTTAGTTTTTTATCCTGCTGTATATTTAGATCTACTATCTTTTAGTATCCTCATTAGGATCCATTTGTGTTCTTCATTCTTCAACTAGTCCATTGTTGTACTCTGTGGTTAAATTGGAGGTATTTATTAGTAACAGTGTATTTCTGGTATTGTGTATTTTTATATAAAAGCATATTAAAAATGTGGACCTGTTTTAAAAATAATACCTATTGACAAAAAAAGGGGCTGTCCGATGTTATGATCTACTGCTGTCTTTAAAATCTGTTTATTAAACTTCCAAATTTAAAAAATTAAATAAAATATTCGAAATAAAGATTTATACAATGTGGCTGCAAGAGATTGTCTTGTATGTAAAGGGACAACCACCCTTGTCCGCATTTGATTTATTGCATGCTCCTAAGACAATCTGCTATAGCTTGAAAATGTTTTAAATGGCTGCAAAAGCAATTTCTGCGAAATTTATAGACTATTAAAAAATAGTCAGAAGTACTGGCTTCACTGCACTATCTGCTGGCAGTACTCATTCTTTGTTCCATCTCTTTGGGACAAAGTAACAAAATTGATTAGAACCGCATTGGTTCTCATCCACCTGCACCTCCATAYGTTTCATACTTTATGTAACCCCTGAATCATTTGGCATTTGCTTATTTGTTGCTCCATGCTTCATCCCAGTCAGTCGGAATGTGCTGTCTTCCTTAGGTTATCCCTCCATCCAAGTGGAACTGGAAACTCCCACTGGGTTGCGCTTCGTGCCGCCCACCCCTTTCCTGCAGGACGATTTCCTTAGCGACACCTCTAGCCTAGAGTCACCCCTTAGAACTCCCAGTAGACTGAGTGACGTGTTAGTGACCTCGCAGGGAYACGTAGATGGTACAGCAGCAGCACCGCCAGTGGTGACTGAAGAAGACACTTCACTGGATGACAGCAAGCTTGATTTCCCAGTGCCTAGAGAAGGAACACCCAGAGATATTTCCGTAGGCGAGAGCCAGTTGGAGGAAGTGGACCTTAAGGATTTTCCGCGCTATCTCGGTAGTTATGGCGGGATATCCAAAGATGCTAAACAAAGGCAGAGTGAAGAGACTAGTAAAAGAGGAGTGAGGACTGAACAGCCTGAGAGAGAAAAGTCTGGTACTGATGAGGAGATGACGGCAGAAAAGTTTAAGTCTCTGTTTGAGGACATTCATCTGGAAGAAGGAGCTGAGTCTGAGGAGATGACGGAAGAAAGAGTGTGGTCAATTCTTAAAGGTGTTCAACAAGCAGAACGCGAAATGTCTTCAATTACAGGTTGGCAGCCTGACTCGTCCAGCGTCTCYGAGGCACCGGCGTCGGGCCGCAGGATAGGTGGCAGCCTGCTGGATCGCTTGGACGATAGGTGAGCACTCTGGCTTGCAGTGAGTGTGGTCAGCAGGCTTCCCTCGCTGCCTCGGCCGCTGCTGGCTGTGCAGACCCTGCTGCTCTCTGCCCTGGGCCAACGTGTGTCCAYTTACGTATATATTTAAAAGAAAAACTTGATTTGGCCTCAGATGCATTGGTCTTTGAAAATGTGCGTTTAGCAGGTGTCATTCTCGATATAGGCATTTGAGGAGTATTTCATATTATCTTTTGTGGGTAATATTACTTTTCATGTTCTTTACTTTGCGTGTTTCTATTTTTAATTGATCTGGGTGGTGCACAGATGTAGCTGGAATCAAGAACATTGTCTGGAACCAGGGTACTACACATTACTCTTATTTCTCGAGCACCTTTTTAAAAGTAACCTTTTCCATTTGCATCTCTTTGCCTCCCCTCAGATAGGTCTTACTTTTCCCATAAGCCAGTTTTTGAATTGTCACTTTTTATAACACTTCGAGTATATGTCATGCCAATTTCATAGACTTAATTTAAAAGATGAGTTACAAGGTGTAAGAATGGCAATACCAAACCCACCTCGCTGTGAGTTGTCTCCCAGCAGTGACTGCAGAGGATGCTTAGGGAAGGACATGGTGCGCTGTTTTCCCCCCTGCTCCAGCTTCTCCCAAGCTCCAGTTTGGCACAATGACCTGATGAGAGGGATGCTTTCTATATATTTCTCCTCAGTGCATTTCTCTTATGTGAGCTTTTCCAGCCTGCCCGTGGCCCTGCTGGAGCTTTCAGCATTCACAATGTTTTTTGTCCTGCTCAGCCCTGCTGGTTCCTGCTGGGTGAGGGGCTCCTGTGATCGCTGATTGAAGGAGCCAGGTCTGCAGGAGCTGTAAATCAGCACAGAACGATTATCTGCACAGTGATCATTKGTCTGTCAGCAGTTTACATCCTTTGCATCTTTGACTCAGGATGTTTTAAGGTTCCAGGTAGCATTAGATGCTCTTTATCAAATCCAGTGGGAATTTGGTCATTGATTTCAGCAAACTCATTGTCTTTCAGTACTGCAAAGCACTTGRACTACCACTGATGTGATTCCTGTTGTTAAGCAAGTGTTATTCTGCCTTTTATATTGTGTTAAATTAGTAAAATAGATTACTTTAAGAAGTAAAAGGGCTTCCTTAAGAAGATATTAATTTCTAGCTAGATGAATTCACTTTGCTGTCTTTTGTAAGAGTTTTGCCAGCAAACAGCTGGCATATTTTCAAATGGCAGTATTACATAGTCATAGTGTTTAACAGAAAGTGAGCAAAAGTACAGAAGAAAACTGTCAGAAGTGCAGATTAAACCTTAGGAATCTAAGGTAAAATTCTAGTCAGCTTTCTGTCTTTTAGTATCCTTCCTTGCCTTTGGCTCTGTGTATTACTGAGCTTCTGGAGCATCTAAGGACTTATTTTCAGATAACAATATTTTTCAAAAGGCGTGACCTATCTGGARTACTTTGGGAGGAAAATAATTGGTTATTGCATGGTAACAGATATTTTCATCACCTCTTTCATTAGAGAGTGGTTTAAGAATTAGTGCCTCGAGGCTTTAGCTCATGATTACACAAGAGAACTGGTAGGTTTTGTGTGTTGTATTTTATCATTTTCCTCCTCTCCACCAAGTGGAAGGAATTAATATAAAGCATTTGGCCTCATGTCCASCATATTTTCATTGCTTCTGAAATGATGCCAAAATGCAGAAGACAAGGTTRTTAAATAGTTTGATGTCTGCAAGTGGAGTCTCAAATTTTACTTTGTGTGAACCATGTGTGCTCAGACTGAAGGCTCAGTAAGGGGCTTGGTGCTTTGCCCTTGTGCTTGTGATGTAAACCCTGAACAGCTGTCTGTCCCTTTTCCTTTYTCCTGTAGTTCGGACCAATGTCGGGATTCTGTTACCTCATATGTCAAAGGAGAAGCAGGGAAGCCAGAAACAAATGGAAGCCTATCCGAGTCCACATCTGAGGCAAAAACGAAATCCTACATGCAGGAAGCTTTAAATGATGTGGGGAAACACAGTGACAAAGAAACCCTGAAAACAAAGTCCCAGATCTCAGCTGGTACTGATGAGCAAACATTATCATCAACAGCATATCAGAAATCTTTGGAAGAGACTAGCAAGCCAACAACAGAAGGCAGCAAAACATCTGTGCCTGTCAGTGTGAAGAAGATGGGCTGGAGTACTTCTGAGGATCGCAAGCCAAGAACAAGCATCCAAGAGGAGGAGGGAGCAGTAATGTCTGAACAGAAGGTACAGTATGTCCTGTAATAATTAACAATGTGAGGAGTCCCTGTTGCTTGACATATTGGTTGACAAATTTTTTTTGTACGACTTGTAATGTTGTTTGTTACAGGGTTAGGGTGTGGGTTTTTTATCCTTCTTTATGGCTTTTCAGTTTATTACTGAATTGAGAAAAATGGAAGTTACTGGAAATGTATATTTGTGTTGTGGATAGAATGGGGTGTAGCCAGGATAGGTAGAGAAGCCAAGCAGGGCTGCATAATCCCCTCCCTGGCTGGCCCAGAGCCCTGGAAGAGGTTAGAGCAGCTTCTGGGAGCCCTGTCCTGCATGGCTGGGGAACAGGCCCTTCCTTCCCTGCAGTGATGTGCCACCTGTCCAAACAGTGCCAAACAGCTCAGCTGGCCTCCATCTGCTTCCACTGAGGTGTTGCCACTGGTTTCCCTCTCTTCCTGTRACATTGAAGCAAAAGGTAGGAGCAAAGAAATAAAGGGACCCTTCAGGCTCTGTCCTGCTCTTTGTCCCCAACACTTCCAGCATCTTTTTTTCTCTGTTAATTTGCAGAAAAAAAATGATTCTGGGTGATATTTAATCTCCTCCTTCTGATKTTTGTTTCATGGCCTTGTTCATCCCAACTGCAAAGTCTATCCAACCAAGAGGAATCAAAAGATTTCCAAATGTGCCCTTTTCCAGGTGGTAGTTCTTTCTCCTTGAAATACTGCTGAGGGAATCCCCTTCCTTTCTGCCTCGTCTGACTCGTACACCCTTAACTGCAGAACCCCAGTTCTAGGTTGCTTTCTGACAATGAAGGTTTTTTGACCTTGCTTCTGTTGCTTCTGTTTATTTACCAGAGACTTAGAAGTAAACTCAAAGAATGGCCTGTAGCCCAGTAGCTGCATGCACCTCAAGCCCCAGCAGTGGAGAATAGGCCACAGGGCCAGCAGGGAGCCAGGCTGGAAAAGGGAATTGCAGAGTTTCTTCTTCTCTCTGCTGAGATWGTCTTTTCTTGGAGGAGGTTATAACTATTGGAAGCAAGATCTTTCAATAGAATTGTTTCTACATGATACGTATATTTTTTTTTTTAATTGTAGCACAATAAAAATGTTGGCTGTGGTGGGCTGCAATAAATCAGGTTTAAATTAGCTCATTCAATCATATTCATTTGATTATACAACCAAGAATTCTTTTCTTAGATGGTAACATAATCAGTCTCAGCAGTTATGCAGCATATGATTGTTATTATCTTGTTATTCGTGACACAGTAAGATCTTTCCTAATGTTTGCTAATTACTGGAATACTTAAAAAACGTAAGGAAGAGAAGGCAGTTGAAGGCAGATGGCAGCGTTCCTCAGTGCTGGTAGGCTCTGGGGCAGAGCTCAGTGTGGTGCCATGCTCTGATGAAATGCAGGAGCGAGTGTGGATGCACACTGTAACATGCTGGCACTCTGTACTCCCCAGCAGTGGRAAAATAAGTTGTCACCCACTTCTGTGTGCTCCTTAATGTTGGATATCCCATCTGCATCAAGAAGAATAAGCAAGTGCTTTTCTTGGGCGTGCTCTCTGCACTGCTTTGCTTTATTGGTAAAGGCTGGTAATCTGATCTACTAAATAACAAGTCTTTTTATAGGCATGGTCTYTGAATAAACTGGTATCAGAAAATAATGTCATTTCAAAATGTGGGTCTCCCACAAAACCTGAATGGGTAAGGAACTAGCATCTGTTAGAATGACAAGAACTGCTTCTATTATCTTGTCGATATTTCTTCAATAATGCCTTCCAACCTAGTTTGCATTCATAARGTTCAATTAATAACATAGTCCAGTTCGTGGTGAGACACTTGATGAAAACAAAGAAAATTTCAACTGCAGCCTTTCTGCAAGGCATTTTTCAGAAATGCTCCATAAAGAGAAAAGTAATGAAGAAACAGATTTATTTCTGTGGAGAGAAAGGGGCAACAAAATAGAGATATTTGCCAAAGTAAGATACTTTATCTGTGACCCATTTGGAAAGAGCCAGGGAGCAAGAGTCACCCACCTGAAGGGCTGCAGCAGTGTCTTGGCACAGAACCTGCACCAGGAGATAAACTCAGACAATTGATACTGGTCTGACGCCTGGTGACGTGGATGAAACGAGTCCTTGGCCTTCTCCCAAGTCCACATTTTGTAAACATTTACAAAAGCAGTGCAGTGGTGGTGTAGGTCATATAAYTCTCTGCAAATGCTCAAGCATCACATTCCAGTGATCTTTTTAAATGAGAGGAACACTGCACAGTTACTCTGTTATTTCAAAGAGGATGACGTCCAGTACATGGTCAAGGTGACTCTCAGTGTCTGAATTCCATCACCAATAACCCACTTAAAGCTGTTTATTAAAAATAACTCTTCCTCTAAAGCCTTCGTGCCCTTTGGAAATCTTCTGCTTTATTGTTACTTCTTCAAGAATGGATTGGCTTATAATTTTTTGTATCTATATTTGACTAGTGCCAGAGGACTGCAGATGAATACTGTCATCCTGCCCTAAATGTTTTTTATTATATAGTTCTTTTTTTCTTCCACCCACCTATGCCCACTCTTATTTTGCACAAAATTTCTGAGAAATGCTTCTTGTTTAGGATGTCTTGGGCCAGATTCAAAAAGAGAAACAGATAATGCAGTTCACAATACCCACTAGTCACGATTTTCAAATCAGTTTGGGGCTGTCATTGAGTAACATAGAGGCACTTTTCAAATTTCTCTGCTCAGGAAAAGGTTGGTTCAGCCCGGTATCATGGGAGAAGGGTCTCTGCCTTGCATCTGTCACACAAAGAGGTGAGAAGCCCTCCATGAGGCATGTGCACACAGAGCTGCCCAGCCCCAAAGCTGAGCYCCTGGGGTTTTGGAGGGGAAAACAGTGGGGCTGGCAGGGGTTGCCRGGACAGAGTGGCCTCCYGTGTGCAGMTGTGGTGGCTCCCAGCACCAGGCTGTGCCCCGAGCTGAGCTCTACAAGCTSCCTTCTTGRAAAACTGCAGRATAACTGGGCTTTGCACTGCGGTTTTGCCACTTATAAAAGCAGATAAAATACTGAGCAGAAAAGCCATTTCCATGGAGAAGTTCTCCAGAAAGACTATTTGTAACCTTCTGTGTGGAGGTGCTCCACCAAATCTTTCCGTGTGACTGTTTTCTTTTTTTGGAATTAGAGAATTCACCTCACATACCTTGTGAATCCATTAAACTTGTTTGAAAGAGTAATTTTTTAGGAGAGAAAAAAAAACCCAATGAGGTATGACAAGGTTTAGGCTTTTTTTTACACAAAATTTAAAAGAATTGCATAAGGTTTTGAAATTTCACAGGTCAGATGCATTCCAAATATTATACTTGAGACTTGGAAGCTGCTGAGATATTCCCTAGCTGGTGTAATTCTCAGGTTACGGCATGCCAAGGAGCAGAAAGGTCTCCTCCCATCATGTACTTTAGCAGTGAAACTGCGAGTCATTATGTACATAACAGAGGCAGGGAAGGCAGTCTGTGATAACCTCTGTTTTCTTCTCCTAGTCCTGATCAGCATGTTCTGTCTTGCAAACGTGCTGTTCAAATGTACTAAAACTGCATTTATTAGGAATATAGTGACAGTGACAGTGAGATTGAGAGTGATTCGAGCTCAGATGAAGAGCAGAGAATTATCACACGAGTTTACCGACGGCGGTTGATTCTGAAGGTACTTTGTGATTTGCTTCCTTGAGGCGGCGTTGGCATGGCCGTGGGTTTGGTTGCAGTGTCAGAACAGCAGTTTTGGCATCCTGGAGCCCCCCTGGTAGCGTGCTTTCCATTGCCAGTATGGATTATAACCCAGTGCTAGGTGGCCTTTCCTTGCTTAACACGGGTTTACAGCTGTCTTCTGCTGGAAAACAGCTGTGCTGCATGGAGTGTTGTGTCCCTCACTGCCACTGCTGTGCATGGCATCTTAGAGACTGCAGCTACATGCAGCATGTCAGTCTCCTCTAGAGCAAATACGAGCCACAGACAGAGATGTGTAACCATTTTTCTTTTCTGTTTTCTTAAAAAAATCCTAAGTTACAAGTTAAACATTTGYGGGGATACCTGAGTGGGATATGGGAAAGTATGAGGCATGTGTTCTGGATGAAACTTGTGGTCCTAAGTGCTGAATGTGTTCTGTAAAACCTTGTTAATACAGCAGATGCTGCTGATTTTAAACCTACCAAAGTCAATAAAAGTCTTTGTATTGCTGTCAGTAGGCTCTATTTAGTATATTTATTTACAGGTGGCCTTTATTTACAACACAATATACTACATATACTGATAACAATGGCATAATTGTATCAATAATTGCATTTGCCATTATAATGGTTTTTGTGTGGTTATACAGTCTGGCATAATTTCCCTGCAGCATAGAGCATGAGAAAATAACTGTATCAGAAACCATTTTGTAATTCCTCAGTTACTTACAGGATTTATTAGTTTTTATTAGAAAATCATATAGTCGAGCCATGAAAGAGCCCAGCCRGGCACCTTAGTGCTATTACAGTGTAGTGAGCTGTAATTATTATTTAGGAATAAACTGTGACATTTCAATTGCACATATCCATGGCACTTTTTCTTGCATGCTCTGTGGAGAGGAGTCTGCACACCACAAAAGGCACTGCCCCTTTTGTGTGATGTGGGAGGCAGACAGGCTGCTCTGCTCAGCTGCCAGACAGTCCAAGGTGCAGATGCTTTTGGAAGAAGCAGAGTGACTCCTCTGGCTGTCTTCACAAATTCCCTCAGTGTCCCAGTCATGCTTACATTTGGGACAAGGCAGGAATTGCAAAACGGTAATTAAGAAGTGGATGTTTTGTGTGATGCCCCATCTCTCCAGGCAGATCCCTGGAAGGCCTGGGCATGTCCAGCTCTAACCATTGCTCAGTAATTCCCCCTGCAGATAAGCCTTGCCTGCTGAGGCTTAGGAATGTGGTTTCTGTTTTCAGACRGGGCAGACGGCCTGTGGGCGATCACAGACCCTCCGCTGTGGTAGGGGC